ATCGCATGAGCGACGGTCCAGCCCATACGCCTCGCATGCTCCCAGAAACTGTCCAGGAATAGCTCGATGTCCCCATCATTGTAGACTTGAGTACTCTCTCGATGGCGAGGCCCATGCCGCTCATATCCTCCTGATGCGCCCAACGGCCTCTGAGGCGGCTGTGTCCCCTTCCCTCCTCTTGGCATGGCTGTCATCGTAAAGTCAGACCTGCACAACAGGCGAAGGAGACAACAGGCACACATTGGGGTAAGCAAGCAGGTGATAATCAGAGCAAGCTCAGACCAGACCACACTTATGCAGCATGCATCCTTCCTAACCTACACACCCTGTTACTTCTATTCTAAAGGCGGTCAGGTCATCTCTCTTACCTCTTCTCTCGCCACAAACTTCTTCAGTCGCGTTCCAGATACCCCATCCTTCCACTCAGTCCCATTTAACTCCTCGATCTGGTACGCTCCGAAGTCTCCGACCCGTGCGATTTGGTAGGGACCTAACCATCTCTTATCGAGCTTCTTGGACCACTGCTTCTCCAACGATGTATCGTAGAGAAGCACGACATCCCCGACTGCCAAGGGTACTTTCCTCACTCGCGCAGACTGATCCCATCGAGCCTTATCATCCATACGGCTTCTCGCCACCTGATAAGATGCCTCCTGGATCCTTTCTTCTATCGCCCCAACCTGCCGCGCCCGAATATCGAGCAACTCTTCAAATGACAAGTTAACTTCCAGATCCTGGCGCCTCCATGTCTTAAGAAAGTTTTCGATAGGGAAGGTGGCATGCCTGCCGTACCACAGCGTCGCAGGTGCGTACTTGGTGGATCTCTTTACTGTAATGTTCTCGACAAAGAAAGCCGCCCTTAGGTATCTTAGCCATTGATTAGGCCTACCTTCGGTCCATTTGGCCAGGAGATTCGTAATGGTACTATGTCCTCTCTGTACGGGAGCATTTGCCTGGGGGTGCGCGGCCGTGGTGTAGTTGGCTGCCATACCATACCTTGATAACAGTTATTGCACCTCCTGGCAAATAAACTCTGATCCCCTGTCCATTACGAATTCCCTGACGAAAGGATAACGCAAGTAGTACTCCTCGATGCAGCTCACCAGGACTGACCCGGTCTTTGTGCGAATAGYACGCCCGTCTACGAACCCAGACAGGTTATCGCGCGCATCGAAGATATAGWTATAGCCTTGATCCCCRAGTGGCATAAAAAGTAGATCGAGATGCACTACARCCCCCACCTCTCGCTSTAGCCTGRGATGCAGCGGCTSTCCTTGCCTTAAACGGGATCTTTCCTGGCAAGGTACGCAAGATCGGCAGAACTTTCCGACCATATCCATCATCCAATCCCAGTAGTACAACTCACTTATCTTGGCATACATGGCTTGTACCCCTCGATGTCCTCCTGCAATACCATCGTGAAGCGTTGCTACGACGTCGATCTGACGATTCCTACCGCAGACGACTCTCCTGGGATTCCCCACTTCCCTTCTCACGAAAAGATAACCGTCTCGCACTAAGTAGCGCTGCAACATCCTTTGAGCCCTATCGCTCGCATCTCTTAGCCGCATTTCACATGACAGAAGAAGCCCCAGCTCTAGGTAGATCCCGTCGTACTCCTCTGCACGAAAAGCTTCCTTAATTTTCCCTTCCTCGAACTCGTCGTCCTGGCTCTCGGGTATTTCGTCCACATTCCCTGCCGGGTTCAACGAGCCCGACTAGTTTAGGCTTTCCTGCAATAACGTATTGACAAAGAGGTACATTCCTCCCATTAGGTCCTCATGTCGTTCTACCTGGCCAGGTCCTTCCTCAATCGTCCTCATATCCTCCGCCAGGCTATGAGAGCTGGCCAGCGCTAATTCCATCATCCACTAAACATCTTTACCGCCCCAGGGATCCTCTTCTTTAAAAGGTTTGAGGACCAGCTCGGTCCTCCTTTCATATCCGCTCGGCGCTTGCCAAATAGGATAGCCTACACAGCTAGGCACTCGCGGCGACCACTTATTGATATGGAGACGAACATCTTCTTCCTTATCCAGAAATTCATCAAGTGGAGGTGTATTCTCCACCCTCCCCTTCTTACTTATCCCAGTTGATCCGACTCAGCCCGTCTGCCCGGTTCTTACTACCAGGAATCCGTTCTAATTCGAAATTGAACATCCAGATGTACGTCAGCCATCTGRCAATCGTCRGATCCGACGAAATGTAATTCCTTAGAGAGTAGGCCAGGGCGGTCGGATCCACTCTCAAAATAAATCTCCTRCCGAAGACATACTTCCGGAAGATTYGCAGACAGTGGAGGACAGCAAGGGTCTCCCTCTTGAACTRAGAGTAGCTCCTCTCTGTCGTACTGACAGTCCGGCTCTCAAATCGCAAGGGCCTTTCCTTTCCTTTCAWGTCTGCCTRTATTAGAACTCMCCCTAAGGCGGTCGGTCCCGCATCCGTTTCGACAATGAARGGTCGCGTCTYTGTGGYGTCATAATCTSGCGCTCCTAACACCAACCCTCCTTCTCRGAATTCCTCTTTCATTTTTGCCACCACCTCTTCTTGTTCCTCACCCCATACCCATTCYTGATCCTGACGGACTAACTTCCTCAGGTGTTCAGTTTTAGCGGCAAAGTTCTTGACGAAGGCCCTCCAAAATCCACACGTACCAAGGAAGCTCCTGACATCAGTTATTGAGTGGAACGGAACTGGCCACTCAGTAATCTTGTCYGTCTTCTTCACATCCGGCCTTCGCCCCTTCTTATTGTAGACGATCCCCAAGATAGTCGCTTCCCTCATGCAGTGTCTGGATTTGGCCCCGCTTGC